ATACCTGTGTCGCCAACTTTCTTCCATAATTCCGTTATGAACAACAATATTATAGCCATATCATTGTCGGCGGCTTTCCGAGAGAATAATGAGACTGATAAATAATACTCGAAAAGCAGTCGTGTTTACATCGCGCGCACGCGAGCAGCGCGCGCGTTAATTCTACAAACGTCATAAAGCAAGACAATGATTGTTACAGGCGAGGTTTTCAGTATAGAACGTACGCGTTGCAGTTTACACGAAGAAAAAGAAACTGAATACGTATATGAAAAAAGGTTGATATTTGCTACAATTGCGTATCAGCAACTTTCCAAATATGGTACGTTAAGATATTTTCTCTTCATATGCGATATTTTTTTCTAAAACAAAGTCACAGTTAGTCGCTATTTGCCCGTGACGCTTTTTGAACTTATCGCGATTCTCTTTTTTTTCATTTTTAGGGGAAATTTGACCGGATCAGAAACATCCGGCAAAGGAAAAAGCGAGAAGAGCGACTGCGGCCTGGCAGGGTGCAGAGATTTTTCTCTGCTGTCCTGTCTGTCATCACTCTGGGCTGTATTCCAAAACGAAGACGTTTTCGACGTCCCCTTCAGCTTTGAAAATCCAGGTGAGAATTTTTTCTTTCACGTTTCAATTTTCAAGTAACGCGGCTTTAAAAATTTAGAGTTATTAGAAGAATTACAATGTAAAGTGAGTGCGACGAGGAGGCGCGGGAAACGGCTGAGACTTTGGGAAGAAAAAAAGTTGGCTGAAGTTTGTTTATCGGGAGGTTGCTAAGAAACGTAACGTGACGTCACCTTCGCGACCGACGGCGATATGACGTGTTCGCCGACACTTTTTACTGATTGGACGACGACAATCGGAAACAGTTCGGTAATTTTTGCGAAACCTTCCGAAAAACGACCTTTCTTTTCACGGCTTATTATTATTACGCGCGTGCGTATTTGCATAGAACTCGAACATGGAACGTGACGTCATAACAACTTATTCGAACGAAAACGTTATAAATACGCGCCAGTATCACTTATTTTCGTTGTCTGGAGTGGGCTTCTAAATATTTTTGTTTGTTTTATTATTAGTTCACGGATCACAAACAATTGAGGACATTGTTGGCTTATTCACAAAATCAAATACAACTAACAACACACAGGACGAACAGAGCGAGTTGAGAAGTAGTCAGCGGAGTTACTCTTGTACTCACGTGACTGATCTGCAAAGAGAACAGAAGGAGCCTGGGACACAACGGACGGACAAAGAGAACTGGGACCCAAACGCTGGCATTTTGTTCAGCACTGATGTGAAGAAAATTGCGTCACAGCGTGAATCTGAGATTAGTAAACAAAGCTCGGATGAAGACAATGGAACTGAAAACACGAGGAAATCGGCGTCCCCTGGATGAAGAAACCGTCTCCATGCAGGAATCTGCAGCAACACCAGAAACATCTGGTTCAAGCTGCAACAAGAACAACTTGGAGAAAACGGACAGCGAAGACGGAGCTCATAAGACAAGCTCGATAAAACAGGAGAGAAAGCCCGGCAGACTTCACAGATTCTTGTCTACTGTGTCGTCAGTTCTCACTGGTTGCGTTCCAACTACTCGCCAACTTGACGTGCCATTCAGTTTAAAGAATCCAGGTAAGACTATTGGAGTAGTGCCAGTGTAAATAAAATTACTGGATTTTGATTGGCTGAGAGCAGTGTAATTAAGATCAAATTTCCATGGCAACAAAGATTGCCGAACATACCCCGAGGAATTCCGCAGATTACTGAAGACCAAGCGATGTCTTTCAAAGATTTCCGAAGCTCACCCGAAGATTTCTTAATGACCCGAAGTTTTCCGAAACTTGCCCGAAGATTTCCGATAATTATCCGAAGACTTCCGAAAAGTAACAAAAATTAACCGAAGATGAATCCCTTGATTCGTGGCATTTTGATAAAACCACCATTTAGTGTTGGCTTAAAGGTACTGAAAAGATGTCTGCAATGTCTATGAATGAGGAGGCTATAGTGTATCCCCATCTCAGGAACATAATTCAAGCTCACTAAAAAGTTAATATAATTTTATTTTCCTTCCAGTTCACGAATCCAAGACAATTGAAGACCTGCGTAATTTAGCAGAATTGACAACTCTAAATGATGAGGACAGGAACGTTAACCAGACCATTTCATCCGTCGAGCTGAACAACGGCGATCTCGATAACACTGACCCAGGATCTGACAGGCTCGCTAACGACAATGATAAACATGGCGGACATTCTAACGCAAATGACATGGATAACTCTAGAGACTCACAGAAAGACGCTACCGAACATGGACAAACCAGCTCATCTGGTTCAGAACATGGACAAACCTGCTCATCTGCTGGTTCAGAACATGGACAAACCTGCTCTGCATCTGCTGGTTCAAAACATGGACAAACCAGCTCATCCGGTTCAGAACATGGACAAACCAGCTCATCTGGTTCAGAACCGAGACGACGAGCTCCCAGCCGAAAGAACACGAGTACTAAGGTGAAGCGATCGCTTTCATGGACCCAGGGAATTGATTCGTTTTGGGATGGATGCACGCAGTTCAAGAGAGAGGGTCTGTTCTCACCTGGAATTCTTAGAACAACTAATCACGATCTGAGAGAGCAAAGGCTAGCTGAACAGCAAAGAGAAAAGGATGAGATGAACAATTCTAGAGACCAGCAGAGAGACGCTGCCGAACATGGACAAACCAGCTCATCTGGTTCAGAACCGAGACGACGAGCTCCCAGCCGAAAGAACACGAGTACTAAGGTGAAGCGATCGCTTTCATGGACCCAAGGAATTGATTCGTTTTGGGATGGATGCACGCAGTTTAAGAGAGAGGGTCTGTTCTCACCTGGAATTCTTAGAACAACTAATCATGAACTGAGAGAGCAAAAGTATTCAAGTTTTTTTCAAAGTATTCAAGTTTATTTGCCCCATGATTGATGTTACAGTAGTGTAAGTCATAGTTATGATAAGGGAGCAGGAGCTCTCAACAAACCCTACTGGGCTTACAAGGAGAGCCCCTGTTACATCATGTTAAAACTAAAAGACTAGCTGAACAGCAAAGAGAAAAGGATGAGATGAAGAGAAAGGAAAAGGAAGATGAAATGAGATCGAATGAAGACAATGATGATGAAGAGTATGACACTACATCAGTATTCAGTTACAGCAGCTACGATGAGGGCTCGATTATCCCAGACGATGAATCAACGGAAGATGAAGACGACCCTATTACAGAACAGACAGCCACAGAGCCTCTCCCTAAATCTGCATCCTGGCCTCAAGGACTTGATTTATTCTGTGATAAACCACACACAAAAGCCGACGATGGGATGATGTCATGTGGAATTCTGATTTCAACTGAACGTGAAAAGCGACAGAGGAAAGAACCGGGTCTGAAAATTCGAAACGACACGTTGGAGTACATCGTATGGCGCTTCTATTATGCATATGAGGGTGACTAGTATGTCTCTTGTTCATTTCTTTCTTATGACATGCATGTATTTTGTAATCCTTAATACTAATGGCACTAGCACTAGCCTTCAAAGCATGCAGTCTCTATTTTCTCTGATGATAGATGCGCGATGCGTGTATTACCTTGGCTGAGTAGCCGCTGGAGTGAGGGCGAGTTAGAGACGCGCGTGCGAGGGAAGACACGCGCGTTTCCTCCCTCGCGTGTGGATACGAATTATCGGGAGACGCGTGAGCCCGCGTTCCAGATCCTTTTTGGGACACCGCATTTCGCCCAACAAGCCTGGTTCAGTCATATGTCGGGAAAATCACAGACGATCGGGGATTTCGTTGTTCCCCGGCCGTCCTAGACATTCCAAACTTATGAAAACATAAATAATGACGGTGTGGGATAACTGCCGGCCGATATATTTAGTATGGTACCAAACCTCTATGCTTGGTTTAAGGCTCCAAAACATGCTCACAAATCAAAATAACGTCTTCCACAGTGAAGGTGTTTATTATTGTTCCGAGAAATCAACACTTCTTTGCAATTTTGGAAACAAAGGGGCGATGGGAAAAATGAAATCCTCGATCGTGTGGGATTTTCCCGACATATGAGTATACCAAGCTGTTTTGCAGCTTATAATGGCACACAACACAGATTTATTTTTAAACTATTAAGTAAAGGAAGATATTTTAAGTATCTTTCTATCCCGGTTGGAGCAATACATTTTCTCAGTTGTTTATGGTCAAAAACGTAAAGTGCGGCTGTTATTTTAGCGGTCTAACGACCATAACCTCCGGGCAATACCTGAATGTAGATTATGAAATAAAAGGCATAATAACTAACTTTATTTTTCTGTTCTTTTTTCTCTTTCAGTGTTAATATCGATGTGTCATTCAAGATGCACTGTTTCTATTTGTATTAGAGTGTTGCGTTCAAATTGTGCGAGATATTGACTCCACTCAGTACAAAGACAGTTAATTTATGGAACATTATGCAAATATGCGTCAATGTTAACGTACTTTAGTTTGAGTCCTTGCGAGCGAGGAACAGCAATTTTCAAGTGAACTGCAACTTAATTTTATTAAAGTGCGAAAGTTATTTTTAAAACTCACGAAACTCATTTGGGTTTTGAGTTTTTTGACAGTTAATAAAATTTTGCTTTTTTACGACCACTTGTATCCTTTAGTGTTTGATATTTTATTTCACAAAGAGGGGGGGGGGGGGGGGGGGGTCAATATATCGTTTGTAGTATCTACTCTTTCGTGTATTTTTTGCTGAGGGACACATGGTAAAAAATACTCACTTTACAGTTTATTTACACTACATTTACAAATCTACTTTACACAAATATCTGCCTCATCTGCCACTGAAAGCGTACGAAGTACAAATTCGTTATTTTTGTTAGCGATGGACTTCACAGCAACTTTGACGGCACGAGTGGTTTTTTTATTGAAAGAAACCTCTTGGCTAACTTATTAGTTTCGAAAATTGCGAGCTCATAATATGGTTGTGACCAGCTCCCAGTTGGCTTGATAGCTCAGTTGGTAGAGCACTGCACAGGTATCGCAGAGGTCATGGGTTCGAGTCCCGTTCAAGCTTGAATTTTTTTCAGGCTTTCTTTTCTATAACTGCGATGGTCTTTCATATATTAAATATTTCACCCGCAGTTGAATATATAATATTCATGTTACACACCCACGCGAATAAAAATAAGCCACAACTAGAAAGAGTATGGTCAAGTAAGTAAATATCCAATATTGAGACCATTGACGACGTATAACAGAGTTTAAATGTTTGACAAATTTAGGGGATCTGTATGGGGGGAAAAAATGAATAGCAAGCCACAATTTTTGGATGTGATCTCCCAGATATCGAGGTAAACGACACGTTTAAGATTAAGAACAATTTATTCCACACTATTCACAATAAATGCATGAAACATAGGATACAGGTTTCTGAATGCCATGAGCATTACAAGCGTATATGTATTGTGTGATAATAAGGCGAAGATAGAACTTGTACAAGGACACCTCCAAGTAATATGTTCTCACAGGCAAATAACACAACACTCGCTTATACCAACTTAGTTATTTGTTACTGGCTTTGAAAAGTAAGTTATTAATCAACCCGGTATCAACGGAAGTTTTGCAAACGTAATTGGAAAATTTGTATCACTCTTAAGAACGAATGGTTAAATAAATTGGCAACTCAGTCTTTTAAGTATTACACTATGGTCTAAATCGGTCCTCCAAACATTTTCGTGAAAAAGTTGCAACACAGGAATGCCAGAAGAGCGAAATAACTGACCCACAAGAACGATAATAAGTATGAAAAACTAAGTAAGAAGCAGTTTTTCTTCGGATTCCGTAGTACGGTTTCTGGGGATTTTTTCCATCCGAAAAACTCTTTACAAATTCGTTTGCCAGGAATGCAAGAAGTGTAGCAGACGGGGAATACATCATTATATTTATAACAGAACGTAAAAGAAAATACGTTAACAAAACGGTGCCAAGAATCCCACATATAGCAGCATAAAGCAGGAAAAGTGTAACGTATATAACAATTGCAAAAACATAATTCAAATAAAATAACATTTTCCAAACTTTCGAAGTGTAATTTAAACTTGTTTTTGTTATTTTGTAAGGCCCAGGAATAATTTCGCTAATAGCCGTTTTCAGACTATATTTGAAACATTCGTGGTGCGGGGAAATTGATTTTGGCAACAATTTTAGATTTTTCCGCACTGCGTTTTGTAGCTTGTTAACATAGTGTGGCTTAGATTCTATAGAAAATAAGACCATTCCTGGCAATATAACGAACAATACCAAAGCAAGGAGTAAGCAATAAAGCTTATTTCTGATGTCAAAGACATAATTGAAGATAGCACCATCCTCAAAAGCGTTTTTAGCTTCGATCTCGCTCAGAAAGTCCAATAGTAATGTATAGTGCAACGCCAAGTATATATACACAGAAAAGGGAATAAAAATGTAATAAAAACAAAACAACTTAAAAAAATTACCTGTAGTCGTAAAATGTGTAACGCATTTTTTCAACAAAGTTGAGCAAGTAATTGGACTTAAATCATCAACAGGAATTTCGTCAGAAAGCAGTTCTGCTTTGGGTATTTCGTTTTCATTGTTTTCAACTGAGGTAAACAGGTAATCAGCTGGTACTATGAGTAAACGAACCGGCCAAAACAAACAAGCCAAAAAATATACAACAAGCAAGATAAGTTTAAACGCTATAAACCAGTTACTGCCTTTCGCCGGATGACCGCACCACACCCAGATTTCGTTTCCTCGTTTTTCTTTGTTACAACAATGGTACTCGATATTTCCATTGTACAACATGGTCAACCAGTCGGTAAATCTCTCTTTATAACTGAAGAATACATGACATCTTTCGAGTGTAATGCACTGTTACTATAGCTTGTTTTACAGTAATATCCTGAAGCAGTGTTCTCCCAACTACGATGTCTTTGCAAGAGGAAGTCAGATTTGCGAGACAGCCAGTCGGTTCTTCGTTCAACAACACCTTCATATTCCTCACTTGATTGCTTAAAAGACCAAGCGATAACACCTGATACTGGTAGGAAAACGACAACATAGGCTCGCCAATGTCTCGCGCCCAGGACCACTTATTGGGTTGGAACTTGTCGTATGACTGCAGTGGGTTGTAACTATTGTTGCCTACTTTCAAATTAAGGTATACCATCCTTACACCATCCTCAGTAGACTTTGGTCGAAATTCAGAAGGCAGGTCATTTCCAGCAATCACAAGCTTGCACTGGGTCTCGTTGCATGATTTCTTGTTAGTTCCATGGCATGACTTTAAAAGCCAGAAAATCAGGAACAAAACGGGTTTCAAAGCCATCTTTGCAGGCATTGTCAATTCCTATAGAAAATAAATGAAATACTTGTCTTTAATTCGATTTTCTTATCCGATTCACTACAGCTAAAAGAAAGAACGTTAATACTGAACATAGTACATAACAGACGATAATCAAAACCAAGGTCGCGATGAACTGAGAATTATATGAGCTGATGTAGGCGAGGTGCTCCTAATGTTAGCGCGTTGGATCAGTCGGGAGGTCGAGATTTCGAGCCCTCGGATCGTCCTCAGTGTTGCGTTGTTAGTCAAGACACTGTACTGTGATAGTGCTTCTCTCCCGGGGCTTCTGTCTACACATGGCAGTACAGTTCGGTAGGTTGGGGAATCTGGAGCAATCACGCTCCATCGCTCCCTAGGGTTGGAATGAATTTACTTCTTTAGGAACTGAGAAGTGGTAGATAATGCTATAAAGGCAGTAATAGTGTTTCAAGCACAAGGCATTCATCAAGTCAACAGTCGACTGACTCAGCCCCTGCCGAGCTAGCACTTCTCTCATACGCGATCGTGAAATTTATTTCGGTCCATTATTGTTTGTGATACTTCCATATAAATGACAACCTCACTGGAAAGTCGAGATATCGTAGGTATCAAAATTGAAAACATCATTTACCACCGATAAAAAAACATCGCATATGTATTAAACAAACAGCTAGATTGCTACTTAGGAATTATAAGTCTGACGAAGTTAGCAAACGGAAATATAATATCGAACAGCAACGCAAAGCAATATAGGATCGAAACTTTATCGTGCATGTGCAAAAAAGGTATCTTGCCATCGAACTTAATACAGCGGCGTTTGAACCGGGCCTTGACATGGTAATAGACAAAATAAAGTGTAACTTACAACTGATGCCGGAGGCAATTTCAAATCGCACTCTCGGGAACGTTTACAACGGAGTCACTGTTGCTGCTACCCTGGGTACCAGAGGTTTATTTCTCGCGTCGGGATCGGCCGAAGGCCGACGCCCTGAGCGGCGTGGTCATAATAGAGACTTGAAACCAGAAACCGCGCAAGAAAAGCCTCTGGTAACCAGGGTATGTTGCTGCTGGCTCACGGCAGAACTGCATGGGCAAATCCAGACTGTGCAGGAACTATTTTGCAGAGAAACACTTTGGAATGTTCTTCCGCTCGCTGTGAATAAACACCTGTTAGTGATAGAACTACCCTGGGTACCAGAGGTTTATTTCTCCGTCGCGTCGAGATCGGCCACGACGCTCCGGCGAGCGGCGGAGCCGCGAGAAATAAGAGAGATTTGAAACCGGAAACCGCGCAAGAAAAGCCTCTGGCACCCAGGGTATTATAGAACAGGAACGCGAACAAAACGCAGGAAATAGGCGGCTGTAGCCGGCAGGAAATGCACTTAGCTTGGGTCCAATATCTTGTACCGGTAATGTGTATCATTCAGTGATTCAGTAAGAAAACTTGACAGTGCAATTTGTGCTGGTTGGCTTGACACTCTTGTGTAAACATCAAATTTCTCCTTAGCGGTGACGAGAATAAAGACATTCATCAACTTCGTTCGAAATACTAAACATTGAATTGATGCTCCTGTATTCGGTTTTTCCACTGCACCGCTTAGGTTACGGAAGCCAGATTACAGAGGGAATGTCTGACAGAGCCTTGTACACATGTATCGTTATTTCCATGAAACAGGTGCGCACAATACAGTCCCGCATGCGCAAGTACCGTAAAGTTCCGAAAGTAACGACCCCCTAAAGTAACGTCAAAACTTTGTGGCTGCTAATAAATCCCGAAAGTAGTGAGCCCCCCGAAAGTAGAGAGCCCCCGAAAGTAGCGAGACCAAGGTTTTTTAAATTTTACATATAAATATTTTTTTCCAATCAATAGTCAAACGTATAAGTAATAATATTCGTGCAGTGTCATAAAGTGATCACAGTAAGGCACTTTACAACAAGGGAAGCTATCGATTATGCCACAAAGCATTATTGTTCTTTCATGTTGCGCGGCTTAAAAACAAAACCCGTATTATTTAACGATTTTTGTTCCCCGAAAGTAACGAACCCCCGAAAGTAGCGAACCCCAAAGGCTGCTAATTCCGAAAGTAACGAGGGTTACTTTCGGAACTTTACGGCATGTTCGTCCGTTCTTGAATGATGTAGTACATATCATGCCGGCCTTTCTTATCACTAAATTACTTGACAGTCAGTCAAGTCAAGTCAAGTCAAGTCCAGTGACAAGACCTGGGAGCTAGTGGATGCGTAAAACAAAGAGAGTGAACGAAAATAACACATTGTCGACGGACCCCAATAAACAATAACTCACTTTATGCCAAGAGGGTCACACTCCCTCCATGCATAAGTAGCCTGCGTGCAGACGTCTCCTATTTTCTCTTTTTCTTGCTTCAAGTGGAAAACGGACGTCTGCACGCAGGCTATGCATGAGTTCACCGGAATGACTTCCTCTCAATTATACACTTGTACCTTTCCTGTGACGTACCGGAAATGTATTAACAACTTACATCTCTAAATTGAGTAAATAAAAGCAGGAAAATACAATTAGACTGCTCATTAATAATGATATTTGTTCCTTAACCTTTTTTTATAATACCACATAATTTCGAACATGAAAGCACTGTTCAATAACTTTAATTTCATTTGAATGATCACCGCACAGGGCTTAAACGGAGTGGAAACAGACTTACCGTAAAATTGTTACAACCAGTTTATTCACTCGTTGAAACTGGTCA